CTCATAATACATACTAAGTCTGAAATGTGCGGAAGCTGAAACATAATATGTCTACGCATAGTAATAATAGTACATGTTCAATAAATGACATGTAGATGCGTTACAAAAAAACAGCTAATGACCATGACCACCACTGAAATCTTACGCGCCACGCGCCGCTCCGTCACCTGAAAAACGTAGTGGGGGCGTGAGCAAAACCACTATGCTCCGCAAAGACCAGTACTTAATTATATAGCATCGTTAATAACAATATCATGACATTAAGTATATAAGAACTGAGCTGAACTAAAACTGTAACTAGGGCATCTGGTGATCATAAAGACCCTGGGCTTAAAAGCCAATCATGTGCACACTCCGGGGGATCATTAAGGCCAATTAAGGCCTCCCTCAGAATCACGGGGGATCATTAAGGCCCGCCACGGCCTCCCTCATGATGAACTAACTATTTCTCATACATACCTCGGACATGGTACGGAAATTAAAGATGATGTATAACCAGTACGTGACCCCCACCTGATAACTGCTACTGCTAGGCAAGTGCTGACTGACTGGTAGCTGTCGGAGGCTCGACTCTCCTTAAGTTACATAAATATTTGAGCAAAATGTACTAAGTACTAAGCTCAAATAAAAACTTGGTTCTTATTATTAATATATCTTACTCGGTTCTCTCGCTCGATTAAAATATCATTTAATCTGGATTTAGGTGCTTTGAGCTGTTCTGAAAAGATTTACTGACTTTAAGGCATTCTAGAGTTCTCTGAAATATTTCTAAGTCTGGACTGCTTGTCTGATCTAACTTATCTGACTGATCTGATCTTATTTATCTGACTGGGTGCAACTCGACTTAATCGTGGTCCGGGTGCATACGCACGGACACGACATCAGTCGACGCACAACTTTCAATCCGGATCTAGAGTTCATCCGGACTGACCGAAAAAAGGCCAGACTAGGGTTCTCTACTCAACCGGCTATTTGTCTCGGTTCAAGTCAAAGAATCATACTTTAAGTTCAACTCGATTCCCAGTAATTGCAGCTAAATCTCAATTGGATAAATTCTAGGGTTTTCACCAAAGTAGCTAAAGTCTCGAATTTATAGGCATATCAAACAACCTCTAAAAATCACGAAATTTAAACCACGACATATTCATCATTTATAGGATTTTTCGTGAAAGTTTCATCGAATTCCGAGGTCTTATCATGTTTCTCATAAATCGGGCATTTCAGCTACATATTCAAAAATCCAGTTAACATACTAAACAAGCACCAAAAATTACGAAATTAAAACCTAGGCCTCAAGTCAGCTATACAAATTTTATCATATTTTTTCGACATTTTTAACGCGTTTATCGAAAATATCAATTTACTCGCTTTAAGCTCGTGTGTACCGATCCAACTCAAATCAACATCTCAATTAATTTTTATCTCGTTTATATCATCAAATTATTCCATATCACTCACGAGATCGGGAAAGAGCGGATCGGACTAGAAAATGGAAGAAAAACGGAGCAAGAAGCCGGTCGGGTCGGTGTGTTGACCGGGTCAAAGAAACCCAAATGTGGGTTGCAGCCGCTGGGTCGCGCGGATGGACCGCTGGGGCTTGGTCTGGTCGGAAATCGGGGCAATGGGTTCGTGGTCGGCGCCGTGGAGGAGCTGGGAGAGGATGGTGGTGCGGCAGGGACGAGCTTCGCCGAAAATGGACTGCTCAGTCGCGGGGCTGTTCTGTCGCAGGTTGGAGTTCGGGTCGCGTGAGGGAGCTCGAAAATTGGTCGGGTTTCGAGTTGCTGGGTCTGTTCTTGCCGTGGGGAGCTCGCCGAGAATGGTCGCGAGCTTGCTGTCAGTTCGCCGGAGATGATGGTACGCGGTGGAGCTGCGGGTTTTGGTCGGATTTGAGAGCTCGCCGGCGGGACTGCTCAGTCGCGGGTCGCGTGAAGGCTCGTCGCGGCGCTAGCTTGAGCTGAGGGTCAAGATTCGCCGGCGGAAAGGAGCTCACGTGAGTGGCGGGATGATCGAGTCGTGGCTGAGCTGCTGGGGGGGTCCTGGCCGAGAGCTGCAGGTTTGGGGCTGATCTTGGATGGTGGTGACGAGCTCGCCGAAGGTGAGTTCGTGGCTGTGGGTCGCCGGTCGGAAAATAAGCTGAGGAACGGCCGGGAGCTGCTCGAAAATTTGGGAGAAGATGAGAGCTTGAGAGGTTGAAGAAGATGTAAATGGTGGCTAGGGTTTTGCTCTTTTTGTTGTGATGTTGGGGAACATGGGGGCAAGCTATTTTTAGATGGGTAGGTAGCTTAGGGTTTTTGTTGGAATTGGGCTTTAAAAATCGGGCCTAATCAATTGGGCTCGATTTTTACAACTTGGGCTCGGATAAATAATTGCTACTAGGCTCGATTATTAAATACTACTTGGGCTTAATAATAAATAAATTATGCAATTAATATTAATAATTCTCCGCATAATAAAAATAATACTAAATCCGATAAATAAGTCGAGCTACTAATATAATTTTTGTCCGGGGTGTTACAATCTATCCTCCTTAAAACATTTCCGTCCCCGGAAATGACAAAACTAATCATAAGGCCAACTCGACTAAAACTAGAAACTGAAAATACATAATACGATACTACTAATCAGAACTGGAAATCTGGATAGCGAGCTCGAATCTCCTCCTCTCGCTCCCAAGTGGCCTCGGCCTCGCCGTGGCGAGTCCACTGGACTCTAACGAGCGCTACATCTCTGCTCCTCAGCTGTTGAACCTTTCGGTCCAGAATAGCAAACGGCTGCACCTCGTACGTCAGGTCTTGCCCGACGTCAAGCTCACTGTAACTCAACACGTGCGCTGGGTCATACACGTAATCCTTCAGCATTGAAACGTGGAAGACGTTGTGCACACCTGAAAGCTCGGGTGGCAATGCCAACCGGTATGCGGCCTCACTCACTCGCTCGAGGATCTCGAATGGGCCTAAGAAACGCGGCTGCAGCTTCCCCCTCTTCCCGAAGCGAACCACGCCTCTCAAAGTCGTGATCTTCAGGAATGCCTTATCTCCTTTCTCGAACTGGATATCTCGTCTACGCTGGTTAGCGTAACGCTTCTGTCGATCCTGTGCCACCTTCATCCGCTCACGGATCAAGGCGACCTTCTCCACCGTGTCCTCGATCAGCTTGGGACTGAGAACCTGCCGTTCGCCGACCTCATCCCAATAAAGGGGTGATCGGCACTTGCGAACGTACAACGCCTCGTAGGGTTCCATCCTGATCGACGCCTGATAACTGTTGTTGTACGCGAACTCCATCAACGGCAACAACTCCTCCCATGAACTACCACGGTCCAGAACACATGCTCGAAGCATGTCCTCGAGTGTCTGGATGGTCCGCTCCGACTGCCCGTCGGTCTGCGGGTGGAAAGCGGTGCTGAACCTCAACTGCGTCCCCACGGCCTCGCTGAGGCTCTTCCAGAATTGACTGGTAAAACGAGGGTCTCGATCGGACACTATGACCTTGGAGACTCCATGAAGTCGCACTACCCCGCGAATATAGATCGTCGCGAGCTGGTCCATGGACATCGTCATCCGCACGGGCAAGAAACGAGCCGTCTTCGTCAGTTGGTCCACAACTACCCAAACCTCATCATGCTGCTCCCTTGATTTGGGTAGTCCCGTAACGAAGACCATGGTAAGCTCTTCCCCTTCCACAGTGGGATCTCCAAGGGCTGCACTAAACCCGGTGGAAACTTGTGCTTGGCTTTCACCTGCTGCCAAACCAAGCACTTCTTCACAAACTCAGCAACATCTCTCTCCATGCCCCTCCACCAAAACGACCTTTTCAGGTCATGGTACATCTTGGTGCTGCCGGGGTGCGCTAAATAGGGTGCACTGTGAGCCTTGGTCAAGATCTCCTTCCTCAGGGCCTCGACATTCGGCACAACGAGCCTTCCCTTATACTCCAAGGCACCATCCGCGCCTTGATAAAACCCCTCTACGCCCTCGTCAACAACCTTCGCCCTCATGGAACGGACGAACTCATCAACAGACTGATCTCTCTGAACTCGATCTCGGAGCATGGGCCACACTCTCATCGACCGAACACCTCCTACTACAGGCATCGTAGGAAGTGACTCGACGACGTCTAACTGCATCCGAGCGAACTCTCAAAGGAGCTGACTCTGTTGGGTGATCATGCAAGTCAACTCGCCCCTCGTCTTTCGGCTAAGGGCATCAGCTACCACGTTCGCCTTCCCCGGATGATACTGAATGGTGCAATCATAATCCTTCACCAGCTCCAACCATCGCCTCTGGTGCATGTTGAGCTCCTTCTGCATGAAGATGTACTGCAGACTCTTGTGATCGGTGTAGATCTCGCACCGAACACCATACAAATAGTGCCTCCAAATCTTGAGCGCGTGGACAACGGCTGCCAACTCGATGTCATGAGTCGGGTAGTTCTCCTCGTGGGGCTTCAGCTGTCGCGAAGCGTAAGCGACAACCTTGCCCTCCTGCATCAGCACGCACCCAAGTCCCTGCTTCGAAGCATCACTATAGATAGTGAAACTCCGTGTAGGGTCCGGAATAGTCAGCACGGGTGCCGTAGTCAACCTCCTCTTGAGCTCCTGAAAGCTCGACTCACAACGGCTACTCCAATCGAACTTAGTCCCTTTTCTCGTCAAGCGTGTCAAGGGTAGGGCTATCTTCGAAAACCCCTCAATGAACCTCCTGTAGTAGCCTGCTAACCCGAGAAAACTCCGTATCTCGGTAATAGACCTAGGTGCTAACCAGTTCCTCACTGCCTCGATCTTCCCGGGATCGACCTCAATGCCCTCGGCCGTAACAATGTGACCGAGGAATGCCACTCGATCGAGCCAAAACTCGCACTTCGAGAACTTGGCGTACAGTCTCTCCTGCCTAAGAGTCTCCAACACGATCCTCAAATGCTCTTCGTGCTGGGCTGTGCTCCTCGAGTAGACCAAAATATCATCTATTAAGACGATGACAAACTGGTCCAAGAATGGGTGGAAGACACGGTTCATGAGATCCATGAATACCGTCGGCGCATTGGTCAAGCCGAACGGCATCACGACAAACTCATAGTGACCGTATCGGGTACGAAACGCGGTCTTCGCCACGTCAGACTCCCGAATCCTCAAATGATGGTAACCCGAACGAAGATCTATCCGGGAAAACACACGGGCACCTCTCAGCTGATCGAATAAGTCCTCTATCCTGGGGAGTGGATACTTGTTCTTCACCGTCAACCGGTTCAAGTCCCGGTAGTCGATGCACATGCGCAGTGTCCCGTCCTTCTTCTTCACAAAGAGGAAAGGTGCTCCCCAAGGTGAAACGCTCGGCCGGATGAAGCCGAGACCCAACAACTCCTGAATCTGAGCCTTCAACTCCTGAAGCTCTTTCGACGCCATACGATACAGCGCTTTCGACACTGGCCCAGCTCCAGGCAACAGGTCGATCGTGAACTCCACCTGACGACTAGGTGGTCCTCCCGGTAGCTGATCCAGAAAGACGTCCACAAAATCTCTCACTATGGGTACATCTCCGGGCATGCGCTCTCCGAAGGTTCCCCGAGTATAGTGACTAGATAGCCCTGACAATCCTCCCTCTGTAGGCACTTAGTCGCCTTCGCCATGGAAATGATACGCGGTAAAGTCCTCGTCCTCGTCCCGACGAATGTGATGTGGTCTCCATCGGCTAAGTGCAACGTCACCTCTCTATCGCGGCATCGGATGTCTGCGTGATATCTCTCCAACCAATCCATGCCGAGAATAAGGTCAAAGTCCCTCATCTCGATCACGAATGCATCTACCTCTAGAGTTTTGCCTCCAATACACATGCTAAGGTTCTTGGCCAGGAAACTCGTAACTATCTTCCTCCCCGAAGCTAGGCTGATCGCGAGGGGGTCGACGTCACTCACACCCTGGACCCCTATGGCCTCTAGACACTTGGTCGAGATGAACGAATGTGTCGCCCCCGTATCGAACAAAGCAAAGACAGGTACATCGAGTAAAGAAGGCATACCAGACATGGTACCTGGCTGCTCGGCGGCCTGCTCCTGGTCAAGTGCGTAAATGCGGGCAGGTGCACCTCGAGGTGGGTGCTGAGCTGGCTGTCTCGGTGCTGGCTGTCTATGAGCTGGCGGTCTCTGGCCCTGCTGAGGTTGTGGGCGATCTGGGCAGTCTGCGATCCTATGACCGGGCCTGCGGCAACGATAACAAATGTCCTGCCCAGCTAGGCACTCTCCCCGGTGGACGCGCTGACAAGTAGCGCAAATAGCTGGGGGCTGCGGGACTGGTGGTGCTGCCTGAGCTGGGGCTCCTGGTCGACGGTTCCTCCTATCGTAGCGACCTCTCCACTTCCTCTTGTGTCGGTGTTGCGCCTGCTGAGGTGGCGCTGGCAGGGCTGGCTGGATGGCAGCTGGCTGTCTGGCTAGTGGTGCCACCTGAGCTAGTGGCTGTGCAGGAGTGTCTAGCAGCTGGGATGCCTCAATCTGCTGGGCTCGCTCAACGGTCTCAGCGTAAGTCAAATAGCCATGGCTGGCTACGAGCAATCGAAGGTCTCTGGTCAGGCCATTGCGGAAACGGGAGGCCTTCTTGTCGTCGGTGTCCACAAGATGGCGTGCAAAGGTGCTCTTACGAGCGAACTCCCGCTCGTACTCCTCAACTGAGCGGTCTCCCTGAAGCAAGTTATAGAACTCTCGCTCCACCCTCTCGCGAAAGTGGCGAGGGTAGTACTTGGCCTCCAAAATCCCCTTAAGCTGATCCCAAGTCAGCTGGTCTCGCTCGTCAGCTGTCCTGAGACTCCAGTAATCGTCCCACCAGTCTCCGGCCGCACCCTCTATCTGAAACTCGGCACAAGAGACCATGTGCTGGTCAGATATGCCCATCATCCAGAAAATACGATCCATCTTGCGGATCCAGTCTCCTACGGCCAACGGGCCCTCCTCTCCAGTGAAGACCGGAGGGGCATATGTCCGGAACTGGGCTGCGACTACTGACTGATCCCGCTCTGCGGGTGGAGCTCTACGGGGCGGCATTCTGAATAGCCAAATAACAACTTGATTAGTATAGCCAATTAATAAATAGCTACACTACTTGACGAATTTAAGTAATTTACCGAAAACACCTAGCTTGGCTAAAGTTCCGGGTTCTGCTTAACTCTACTGATTCTGGCTCGAATTCTGATAGAGTCTAGAGTTGGACTTAGATAAACTTTCTAGAATTCTGTCTCAAGTTCTCTTTCTAGTCGGAGGATAGATGGTGTAATATCCCGACTTTTTTTATCAGTATAATAATATTTTAGTTCCGATATTATTTTTCGGAATTAATTATTTTCAGTTATTTCAGTCGAAATTACCGGAAACTATTTTCGACGTACCGTTTACGTTCGAAATAATTTTGGTAATTAGGCATTATGTTTAATTGGTTAATTAAACATAGTTAAGTGATTAATTTAAATTAATCACGAGATTAGCTTAATTGTTCGGATATTAATCCAAGCCGAGCAAATATCCGTGCACTCCCTTGCCATGTTGCTAGCATTTTTGTCCAAGATTCTCATGCTAAGTATCCGTGCCCTCTTTTGTATTTTAGTGCATGTGTGTGTTGTGCATTTTGTCTTCATGCGTGCATATGGTGGAGCATTGACCGAGCCTTTTGTTGGGCATTCACGTGAAGCTTGGAGTCAAGTAGCATGCATGTCTTTTTGTACTTTAGCATATAGTGGCCGAATACTTATTGGCATGGGAGACACTTGTCCAAGCATTGACCGAAATGTCTCCCTCCCCTCCTTAAGCTTTCGGCCCTTGTGTTATAAGTGAGGCCTTGGAGACATTGTTTCAATTTTCTCCTCCAAGTGCCGAGAGTTTGAAGTATTATTGTGAGTGCATTATATTTTTGTTAGTATTGTGCGTGAGCATTGCCGAGAGCCATCACCCAAGCCGAGCTGACGCACGCACGCACGCGGAGGTCACGGCCAAGCTCGGGAGTACGAGTAATTTAGCCTCTTGAATTTTATAAGAGGTAAGTCCCGTCGTCATTTGTCCGAGAACATCATGTTTATTAAGATTAGAATTTATTTGTTCATGCATGCGTGTTTTGAGTAATCGTAGCCGTAGCCGTGTGTTCATGTCATGTTATAAATTAATTCACCGAATCATGTTATTATTTTCATGGAATTCTCCGAATCACCCTTGCATGCTTAGCTTTTATTTGCAATATCATGTTTAGATTAGCTTTAATGTTCGGATAATAATTCACGTTTGCGATTTTCGGCCGAGGGTAACGTGGTTGCGCACGTAGCGCACCACGGGCCGTACTTGCTTGCTCAATATGTTAAGTTAGCCATTCTCCGAACCATTCTCGCATATTTAGCTTTTATATGCAAAATCATGTTTAGTTAATTTAAGTATTCGGATGAATTTAGTCATGTCGCTGGAGTTGGTCGAAGGAGTGTGGTCGCACACTTAGTGCGCACCACGGACCACCCGAGTGCTATTTCATGTCAAGTTCAAGCTTTCCTTTATCATGTATTTTCACGTTCAGCAAGTCATGCTCAAGTTCAGTATATTCGAATTGCCGAGAGATTATGTGATTCGGTCGTAGAACGGCACAACGCCGTCGGCGGTGCATGGCGCGCCCGCCGTGGCCATAGTTCAAGCCTTTATGAGAATATTCATGTTTTCAGTATATTTATGCTCATATGTTCATGTCATGTTATTTAAAGTCAGTTTGTTTGGATATAATTGTCGGACGGCCGGCAAGGGTCGGCCGTGGCCGCGCAGTCCGCACGTAGCGGCAGCAGCGCGCCCGGCA